CAACAACACATCATCATGCATCAGTGGAATATGATCACAGGGCAATGCGGGCATTGAGATGAATGTTGTTGATCACAAATGATTCCACCCTTACACCAACATACTGTACGCTCCCAAAATTTGACAGTATAAGACCTCATGATGAGTTCAAGATCAATGATGGTTTCCTTCTACATTTTCATAAGCTTTGCACAAATGTTTGCTTGACTGAAAAAGCTCATTTCCTGTGCTTTATTATTAAGGGAGATATTCTCAATCAATATCCACTTCTCACAGCAGTTTCAAAGCATGTAAAGCAAAATAGATTAAGATTCCTTCCTAAAGAACATCTGACAGATAATTTTCACTGAATCTTCCAGGTGGTATGAACAACTTTTTGAAATACTAGTGTGTAGTATTTTAGGTTATTTTTCATAACATTTTGATATTTCCAGAAAAAGGTGAATTTGAAGAAATTGAAAATATCCTGAATTTCTTTTGCATTGCTGATGGTTTTTAAAAAAAAATCCAGTGTGATGAAATATTTCAGGGCCCCTGGAATTTTGTTGTAAAATGATTTGGCCTGTAATTTGAATATGAAAAAAAAGCTGCTGAGAGAGGCAGCAAAAGGCAAAAATGTAGTGCCTTAGTGTTAATATTCAGGACTTTTGTCACTGGTATAATAAGTAGCTTGAAATGGTTCCCATCAATCACATGTGCATATTCTGTACACGAAATTCGAATTGAAAGAAAAAGCCTGGAGCACCTAGTAATAATGCCTGGATTCAAAAACCTGAATCCAAGTTCCTCAGGGATAAAATGAGCTCAGGACCAGAATGATGACCAACTTCCTTTTCGTCCTCTTCATTCTCGGAATTGACTTCAATGAGCGGCTGACGTGATGGTGAAACTCGAATCTGATGCCCCTTATTGCTGGTCTGCTTCTGACGCCCTGAGATAGAAGACTTTGTTTCCCTGATCCCAGTTTCCTTCAAGATGGCTTTCTTCTCATCATCCTTCTCCAAGTGTTCTGTGTAATATAGAAAAAAAACAATTTCTTGTTTTGTAAAAATGCTTGAAACTCATTTTAAAATGTCTTGGGATTTTAGGGATTGTACAACAGGAGGAGGGGACTCAAGTTTCTGAATCAGAAAATCTCTGAAACAACACATAGGATATCAGTTATTTGAGTTTTTAACATTGAAGTTGATTCCTTCAATTTGAAGTTAACTTATTACTGGGTATATGCACAGGTTTCTATAGATCAGATAAAGTTTGTGGGTCAAATTTTCATTGAAATCAGCTAGCTCATGTGATACTGAACAGTAGTGGAAAGAATAATTGAGGACAGATTTTAAATAATGAATAAAAATGTCACCCACCACTGCATAAAATAAAAGTGCGTCATCACAATGATCACAGTGCAACAGCTGGATGTAGAAATGGTGCAGGACTTCACATCCCATGCCAATCCCTGCAAATAAGGTATTCAACAAAGCACCTCTATACAGAAAAGATGAGAATTCTCAAATTCCCATACAGAAGAATAGAATGATGTGATCACCTTCATTGTTTGTTGAAAATGTCTCTTCTTTTTTAAGCATATGCAAATTATAGCAGATTCTCCAGAGCATTGGTTCAAAAGTGCATGCAGGTCAAATCTTGATTTCAGCCAACTTGGACTCTGCTGTCAAAGAGCTGGCAGTTCTTGTGCTATTCAATTTTTAGGAGAAAAAGATACAACTTCAAATCAGACTTTTTCAGGGAAAACCTTTGTCAACAAAGAACTGAAAATGACTACAACTTCAAAAAAATAATTTTGAGCGAAGTTTGGATGATGCCCCCCCCCCCCCCACTACAGTGATTCCCTGGTCTACGATATAAAATACAGTATACTGTACTCATATTAAGCATGATAAATACTCAGATTAACTATGAAAAATATATCCAGATCAACCAGGAATAAATAGAAAAACATTGGATATTTTTCTTATGAAAAATTCTCAGTTACAGTTCAAAATATGCTAAAATATCCATATCAGCCAGGAAAGAATAAAAACTCCTGGGATATTTGTCCCATACAAAATATTCAGATAAATTTGGAAATTTATCTGAAAATATTCAGATCAACTATTGAAAAAATTCGATAGTCGAATACAAAAATACAGTACCTATCGATCAACCACAAAAAAAACATACTGTACTCCGATCAGAAAGCATAACAAAATGTTGAAAATACGCATCAACTCTAAAAACTAATGAAATACAGCACTCGGATTCAACTAAAAATAAATTTGCTGGGAGAGAAAATAAAAAAAGTTCCTTCCGCAGAAACACATTCGGAATTCAAACACCATAAAATGCTCCTTTAAATAAAAAATAATAATAATAATAAGTTATCACAATGAAAAAAAAAACACCAACGCAAAATCAGCAGAGAAAATAACCCCCCCCCCTCCATGCAAACACACATCAGCAACTCGCAGAAAATAAAAAGTGGAGCCTGGGGTTGGGGCCAAAAAAAAAAAATTAAATAAAAATCCCCAAGGGGGTGGGGGAAGGGGGAATTATTTCCTGGAGGATCTAATTTGGTGGAAAATAACCAACGTGGAGTTGGAGGGGATTAGATGAGAATTACCTCTGGCAGCTGCTGCTGCTGCTGCTGCAGTCACAGAAGAAGAAGAAGAAGAAGAAGAAGAGATCTTGCTGCTCGTCCCCGGTCTTGACAACGGCACTTCCCCAGCAGGCCAGTGATGGATGGAACCACTCCCAGTCAAAGGCCTGGTGGTGGCAGTTGTGGTGGTGGTGGTGGTGGTGGTGGTGGTGGTAGTGGTGCAGTTGCTGCCGCAGAGTCCATCTGCACTCTTCCGAATCTCCTGATTGCCAGCAGCAGCAGCAGCAGCAGAAAACCCCGGCTCACTGGAATTCTGCCAAACACCAGCAGCAAAAGGAAAAAAAGAAATTGAAATTAAACAGAAATAAAAAATAAAAGATGGTGGTTCAACTTTATTGGCGTGGAAATTGAGAAAGAGGGGAATATTCGAATCTCGTTCGAAAGTTGGCCAAGAGTCAAGAAACGGGTTCACGTTTAGAATCAGGAAATTTCCATCAGCACAGATTTTTTGTTTTTTTGTTTTCAAAAATGTTTATATCTTTCAAACGCCAGATAAAATAAGTTGAAATTAAAAGAAAAACATTAGATAGACCAGAATGCCCCAGTCCAGTTTTTCAGCCTTCACCAAATGGTTCATATCTAAAATTAGGTCCCACTTGATATACACTAGGGCCTGCAGACCTGCGAAATGCCATACATTTTTTTGCATACTGGCAAATTTCCACACAAAAAATGCTATGGACCAGCAAAGTTTTTCAAAATAAATTTGAAGACTCACAAAGTGTTGATTCAAAAACATAATAGCAGGTATTTAAAAAGATTTCTGATTTTTCTAAAAATTAAGAACCAATAAAACCATGGAATGCCTACAAGAAATAGAAAGGCAGGCTTGACAAAATGGCTTCTCAAAATGAAAAAAAAATCAAAATTTTAGCAATGAAAATTTTCCTGAAGTATTATTAAGAGAAAAGCAAACTGTAATGGAAGATTACAAAAGGAGGCAAGAAAAGGATTGATTCCAAAAATGAAACACATCATTCAGCTGTGGATTTCATTAGGAAATCCCAAAAAGATAAATAGGTTTCACAAAACACAAGTAATTTCACAGAGAATCACAGATGAACGTTAATGGCTTAAAAATTGGAGACAGACTGTCTGGGAATTATTCTCCCTGAGAATCTGTGCTGCTGCACCTGATTGGTTGAAACTCTTGAAAGGCACAGACTAAAATTTTGAGTATGCAATTAACACGGCTGCCATCTAATGGCAGTCCAATATGAATATTCTAAATTTTCAATGCAGATGAAATGGACATTTTTTTAAATTGTTTCCAAAATGCACATTGGCTGTTGGAAATTATCCTTTTCATGGTAGCAGAAAATCACAGCAGAGACTGACAGCCCTCTCCTGTTGCAATGCTTCAGGGATAGATAATTCAAGTCCACTCATCATTGGAAAATCAGCAAAACCAACTTTTCTCAAGCACCTACAACTGTGACTTGATGACCACTGCAATTTTTGCTAAATTGCTGCAGCAGGTCAACAAGGACATGCAAATTAAAAAGGAAAATCTTGCTTGTTTGGGACAACTGCTCTGTCCACACTATTCTTCCTTGCCTAGGTAATGTGCAAGTGGAGTATCTGCCAGCAAACTGCACTGCATTTTTTCAGCCTCTGGACCAGGGCATAATACAAACTGTGAAAGTTTATTTCAGGAAAAATATTTTATAGAAAATTCTTGCAAACATTGCATGTGATAAAAAGGATACTGGCATTGACATCAAGCAAGCAACTGAAATGATTGTTTGTGTCTGGTCAATTAAATGTTTTTCTCATGCTCTGACATTGCAAGTGATGAAAAATATGATCTACTGAAAAAAGTTGAGGATGCATTGGCAGCAGCAGTGAATAATAATTTGGTTAAGAAAAAAATCACTGAATTTTTCAAACAATAATTTGAGTTCTTAAACTCAAAGGCAAGCCTGATTCAGAATATATGGAGATGTGAGCAGAAAAAAATTTTTCCAGTCATTTTTTTTTTGATAATCTTGTTACAACAAATTATCCGTTATAACAAACTTTTTCTGTGGTCCCCAAAAGTTTGTTGTAACAAGATTTTACTGTAGTAGACAAGTTGGGGGTACCCAGCCACACCTGGGCAATGGTTAGTAGAATTAATGAAATCATATAACTAAATAATACCAAAGACACTACCATACCCAATACTACACCCTACCCTACACTACATCCTACCCTACCCTACAACCTACCCTACCCTACACTACAACCTACCCTACCCTGCACTACAAACTACCCAACCCTACACTATATCCTACCCTACCCTACAACCTGCCTTACCCTACACAAGAAAATACCCAACCCTACACTACATCCTACCCCACACTACACTACAAACTACCCTACACTACAAAACTACCCAACCCTACACTACAACCTACCCTACACTAAAACCTACCCTACCCTACACTACAAACTACCCTATACTACAATACAGCCTAACCCACACACCACTACAACCTGCCCTACCATAAAGTAAAACTTTAATATTCAATCCCCATTTTAAGCATATTGTATATTGTTGCAGTTACCCTCTTGCATACCTCCATAATTTACATGCTTTCTACTCTTTAAGTCACAAAAAACAATATTCTGGTGTGAAACTTTTGAAAAGTATGCATAGAAAATTTTAAATAAATAATGAGGATATCAGGTCATAGAACCCTATTGTAGAATTTAAAAATGTGTGAAGCAAGATTTTTAGTAAAATAATAGAGTCATGAAAAGAGCAATAAAAAAGAAAAAGTGTTCTGGAAAAAAATTGTCACCACCTGGGGATTGAACCTCAACCCTCCCAGAGTGAACAAACCCTTTTTTTCTTCACATCCTGGGATGCTCAGGTTTCTACTGCCTGAGCTCCCCAGGAAGACTGACCCTCCCAGGAGGGAGAGTTAAGGGGCGGGGCTTGCAGGAGTCTGAGGGGTGGGTGCCTGCGCCTGTGCGTTTTGGCGGGAAAATGAAGAGGAGGGCAAAAAAGTTGAAAAAGTTCCAATTTTTTGTTTGTAGCTTTTTAATTTTTAATATTTTCAAATGAAAAAAATATGAAAATTTAGAGAACTTCTGGGCGCATATCATGTGAAAAATTATAAAATTCAGCTTAATACAAAATTTACAATTGATTTTTTAAGTCAAAACTGCGAATTTTTAGGGAATCGAACCCTGGTCTCTTGGAGGCGGGGCAGGGAAAATTGAAAAAAAGTGCGTACGAACTTAGAAACGGAGATAAGTAACTTTATTAGGTAAGACAAGCTGGGGGTGCCCAGCCACACCTGGGCAATGGTTAGTAGAATTAATGAAATCATATAACTAAATAATACCAAAGAAACTACCATACCAAATACTACACCCTACCCTACACTACATCCTACCATACCCTACACTACATCCTACCCTACCCTACACTAAAACCTACCCTACCCTACACTACACTACAACCTACCCTACACTACACTACAACCTACCCTACACTACACTACAACCTACCCTACACTACACTACAACCTACCCAACCCTACAAAATACCCAACCCTACACTACAACCTACCATACACTACAAAACTACCCAACCCTACACTACAACCTACCCTACACTAAAACCTACCCTACCCTACACTACAAACTACCCTACACTCCAATACAGCCTAACCTACACACCACTACAACCTGCCCTACCATAAAGTAAAACTTTAATATTCAATCCCTATTTTAAGCATATGGCATATTGTTGCAGTTACCCTCTTGCACACCTCCATAATTTACATGCTTTCTACTCTTTATGTCACCAAAAAACAATATTCTGGTGTGAAACTTTTGAAAAGTATTCATAGAAAATTTTAAATAATTAATGAGGATATCAGGTCATAGAACCCTATTGTGGAATTTAAAAATATGTGAAGCAAGATTTTTAGTAAAATAATAGAGTCATGAAAAGAGCAATAAAAAAGAAAAAGTGTTCTGGAAAAAAATTGTCACCACCTGGGGATTGAACCGTGACCCTCCGGAGTGAAAGAACCTTTTTTTTCTTCACATCCTGGGATGCTCAGGTTTCTACTGCCTGAGCTCCCCAGGAAGACTGACCCTCCCAGGAGGGAGAGTTAGGGGGAGGGGCTTGTGGGAGTCTGGGGGGTGGGTGCCCGCGCCTGTGCGTTTTGGCGGGAAAGTTCTTGGAGGGCAGAAAATTTTCAAAAAAGTTCCGATTTTTTATTTGTAACTTTTTCAATTATTGATATTTTCACACCAAAAAATATGAGAATTTAGAGAACTTCAGGGCGCATATTATGTACAAAAATTTAAAAATTTGGCCCAATGAAAAATTTACAATCAATTTTCAAAGTCAAAACTGCGCGTTTTCTTGGAATGGAACACTGGTCTCTTGGAGGCGGGGCAGGGGAAATTAAAAAAACGGTGGGTACACACTTACCTACGGACTTAAGTAACTTT